ATTCTCTCTTCCCAGGGCCTGCCCAGATCACTGGCATCTTTTTCAGAGCACATCCTTGATGCCACCTTAAATCCACAGCTGCAGGTCAGGGCAGAGGATCATTCAGTGAAGTCGAATGGTCCCAGACAATGGGTGACCCTGAGAGGTGAAGTGGCAGCAGCTGGAGGTCTGGATTTCTGGCAGTGAAAGGAGAGGCAGGATTATTTCCCTGGTTCTGAATAGGCACATACAGTCCCTAGGTGTTGTTTCAGCACTGGATGTGGGGTAGCAGGGACAGGCAGGGGCATCCCCAGCCTGACCCCCTGCTCAGACCAGGGTGTGACCAACACAGCATCATATTTGCTATGGCTTTGTACTTTAAATCCCCAGGCCTGGAGACTCCTGCCATGCGCTGTGCAGAAATTCTTCCTGCTGAGCATCCTCAGCCTACCAAGCTGCAGCCAACAGCCCTCATCCCTCATAATATGCTCTGCCAGCAGCTCCAGGATGGACATCTTGAGTTTTGCACATAGCCAAGACCCCTGTTTGGTTCTGGGAAGTCSCAAATGTGTGTCAGACTCAAAGAAACAATGAAGTCTGATGGATGTGACATTGCATTAATTACCTTCATCAGACTGCAGATCATCCAGCTTTTGTTCCTYGGTCTCTGAGGCCCACTATGGTCTCCTGGATGTCAGGATGCTGCCTTCTTCTACAAAGGTACTGAGAGACAACTGATGTGAGAGGCAACAGTGAACCTATGAATGTGGTGTGGGTATGGGAGAAGAGCCGCCCTGCCTCGCCCTACGACCAGTACTTGTTGAAGTGGTATCCGATCCTGCTTTCCTAGGTAATGCTGTCACTTCTCCCTTTCCCAACAGGACTCTGAATTCCATCAGATACGCCCAGTTTGCAATGAGGCTTGACGTGGGCACTGGAATCCAGTCAGAACATCAAAGTATTGATCCCAAGCTCTGCTCGCAGCCATACCAGAAGTGATTCCCACAGTGCCAAAAGGGAACGCTACCCATACCCCAAGAAGAGGAGGGCTCCTTCAGCAGGAAACTCTCCAAGTTTGATTCCTATCTCCAGTTTTACAGCCGTTTCGGTCAAACAGGTAAACCAAGCACATTGTGGAAACAGGTTCTGGCGGGGGAAAAGGTCCTGCAGCACTGGTTCACATTCCCCGGGGGACATTCCCTGGCTCCAGCACAGGACCAYGGTGCACCGTGGAGCATCCCCTCCTTGTGACAGTCTCAGGGAAAGAAGGACAAGCTTTGGCCTCTGTCTTCTGTAGTTGCGAAAGACTGGGAGGACAAGGAGCGTGAAAACCCCCAGGGGCAGTGCTGCAGGAGATGCAGTTTGTGCTGCACGACAAGGGCTGGGGCTGTGAGAGATACAAAAGCCCAAGCTTTTTTTTGTGGCAGCACACCACTAAGAGTGGAAGTGACACCCAGTGCTCCTCAAGCACACCTGCCCCTTGGGCTTTCTCCAGCTCCTCTGCCAGCCAGGATGAGGCCATGAGTCACCCCACAGTGCCTGRTCCAGCCCTGCCACTGCTCCACACTCCACCCAGCCTGGCACCACTTGCCAGGGGCCCCCAAGCAACGTGACAGCTGATTTCCACCAGCTTCCTCCAAGGTCCTTTTAAAATTCCCTACAATCTACCCTGGCAGGACTCCAGGTCTTTCCAGGCTCACTCCTGCACATGGGTCTTTTATTGCTTTACCTACCTATGGACTTGGATCAGGCATTCACAGCAAGGCACAGCCTGCTGGCACGAGGAGCAAACAGGTGATGCAGTGGTAGCATCACCCCTGTGGAGGCCCATCCTGCCCCATCAGCTCTGGGAGATGATCCATGTACTTTCCAAAGGTGCTTTTGTGGTTGCGAAACCTGCCCACACCAACAAAACGAGTATGTGCCTGGGGACGTCACTCTTCCATGATGAAAACCATTAAACTAAATTAAAACTGGGGCAGGAACCTTGCTTGTGTCAGCTCCTCAGCATCCTGGAGCTCGGCACCTGACAGCCTTTCCGGTGGGAGCAGCCAGCCTGGCAAACAGGCTGAGCAGCCCCAGCCCGCCGCCGGCAGGTTGGGGCAGTGCTGACAGCTCCAGGAGGGAGCTAACCCAGGGATGAACTCACCAGCACTCAGTCACCTCACCAGGGCACCCTTCAAAGGGAAGCCCTGCAGGCAGAAGGGCTCACGACGGAAGGACGTCATTCCACCATGCRCTGCTTGGGACACCTCATCTTCCTGGGGAAACACCCTTCTCTGGGCAGGCAAGCCTCTGGAATTTGGCCAGACATGGTGCAGAGCCMTGCCTAACATGCTTAAACCCCTCCCGTTTGCCTTCACCAACCCTAGTGAAACCCTTTTCAAACCCTCGGTGTGTAATGGATAGATGAAGCCCACTCCTGGCAAGGCTTAGGGCGGGCTACCCTCTGCAGAGAAGTGGTACAGCTTGTGAAGTAAATTTGCCCCATCCCCAACCCCCCTAAACCTCTGGAAGTTTTTCCAGATGCTCTCTAAACCACCACAGCCTGTGTTACAATTCCCACCAAATCACCATTGTTGAGGTTCTGCCCCATGGGAAGAGGAGAGGGAGCACCCTCATCCCCTCAGACTGTTAAAAGGGASTTTTATGTCCTGCTCTTTAATCCTGTTTCTGGAACCAGAACATGTTTCAAAAATCAGGGGAGGTTGCTAAGGGACAGTGTGCTCAGCAGGGACATCGCTCACAACCCCTCAGCACTCAAAAGCAGGAGGTAAATAACTGGGGATATTATTAATCCCTCACTGCCCACACAATAAACAGAAATGTATTATTCTTGTCAAGGACAAAGGAACCCATATTTCCCCACAGCCAAGGAGCTGAACCAGCAAATCGTTTGGATTCAGCTCCACAGTGGGTTCAGTTTCGACTGAAGTTGTTCCAGTTGAGTTCCTGTTCAGACCAATAAAGGTTCATTAACCCTTTTTTWACTGTGAACTCATTTCAGCCAGTTCATACTGGGAAGCATGGCCTGTGAAAGCAGCCGTGTGATGGGGACTGAGCCATTTTCAGCCCATCCCTGGTTTCCATGGCCTCTGCTGCCTTCCTGRTTGGACTCCAGAGTTTCTTGCCAGCTCAGCAGAGATGACACACAGGGTCAAAAGGCAGAAAAGTGAAATTTTGCCCTGAAAGTCTGTAGGAAACTTGTACTGTTAAGAACAAGCAGGCATGTGGGGGAACTGAGCTTCCTGGGCTCTTCCTGACACCAGCACCTGCACCGCGAAGTTTGAGGCAGTAGCTCCTAAGCCCCAGGATGGAGGATCACATGTTCCTGTCATTACAGTCAGAAATTAAAACGTTCCACACATTAAATACCGTTTAATGGCTCACAAGCTGAATCTGGGGACAGCCAGGGGTTATTTAGCAAGAATTCTACAGCAACAATCTGAGCCCCCAGGAGGAGATGAGGTCCTGTGTTGGCAGYTGCTCCATGGCCATGTAGCAGGACACTGAGCTGCCATTTCTCCCTGCAGAGAGGCACGTGCAGGGCATGGCTATCAGAGGACTGTCCGTCCTGCTGCCCTGCTCATGGCTATTCCCAGACAGCAGCAGCACAGCTTTATCCATGACGGCACCTCCAAAAATAATGCCCCAGGATCAGCAGCAAGGCGAGAGGGGCACTGGGACTCGGCAGCTAGTGTGCTGCAGGTTCACATCCAGCTCACTGCGTGCTAGCACAGTCAGAAGACGAGATCTTGGTTATATTTATCATTTGACGGTACCGGTCCCCCTATTTTTAGAGYGGTGTTGCAGCTGCAGCTCAGTGAGGAGCGAGGTGAGTCAGTTGGGGGWCTGATTTTTACTGAGCTTCACCCAAAACTGACGAAGTCAAGGCATCTTTCCCCTGATCTGAATGGCCCGTGGTCTGGCTGGTGAGYTGTGGGCTGCTTCCCCTCGGGGCCGTGGGTCTGGGTGGGGGTGTCCCGCTGCCCCACTGCTTTGGTATCTCTGAGCATCCATATTCCTGGGAACAGCTGCCTCCTTGGATCCAGCACCGACAGTGGCCGTGGCTCAGACTGGCACTGTTAGTTCTCAGCCCGGCTGCATGGCTGGATGGCAGATCGGGYCTGTGGAACACCGGCACCACCTGGGGAGTGGGGAACACTAGGGTGACCCCACTMGGGATATGGGGCAAGAGACACCGCGGGGGTATCACCCGGTGGAGGCCATACCCATGGAGCCAGGGGAGGGCTGTGTCTGCGGGGCTGCACACATCGCATGTGTCGGGCTGGCGGAAGGGCGACTGTGGGGCTGGGACATGCTGTGCCCGTGGGTGTGTGCGCGGGATAGGACACGCCGTGGAGCCGGGGGTACCCATGGGGAGGGGCATTCGTGCCTTTGGGTATAAGGGGTGCCTGTGGGGTGGGACACGCTGTGTCCGTGGGGTGGGACACACCGTGCCCGTGGGGTGGGACACACCGTGCCCGTGGAGCCATGCCGTGCCCGTGGGACTGTGCCGTACCCGTGGGGCCATGCTGAGTCAGTGGGGTGGGACACGCCGTGCCCGTGAATCCATGCCGTGGCCATGGGGTGGGACACACCATGCCCGTGAATCCATGCCGTGCCCATGGGGTGGGACACACCATGCCCGTGAATCCATGCCGTGGCCATGGGGTGGGACACACCATGCCCGTGAATCCATGCCGTGCCCATGGGGTAGGACACACGCTGTGTCCGTGGGACTGTGCCGTGCCCGTGGGTAGCCCCGCCCCACGCCGAGATAGGCCACGCCCCCCGCCGCCGCCGGCCAATGAACAGCCGCTCTGCCTGGGCCCGCCCCTTCCCCGCTGTCATCACACTCCCGCACGTGGAGGGGGCGGAATGTGGGCGTGGTCTAGGCGCGATGCTTCACCGCCCATTGGCCGCGCGGCTCCGCGGCTCGCCCCGCCCCGAGCCCTGCCCCGCCCAGTGAACCAATCAGCGCGCGGGAGGCGGGCACGGGGGGCGTGTCCACGGCGGCACCCGGAAGGAGCAGAGGAGCCGCGCACAGTCGGGGCCGCGGCGGCGGCGGCGAAGGGGGCGCTGGTGGGTCCGGCGGGGCCGCGGCGGGCAGGGCCGGGGGGCGCGGGGTACAGCCAGGCTCCTGCGGGGATGGGCCTCCCGTGCGGCGTGCGATGGGGTTCGTGCGCCCCATCTCCGCCGCCATCCCCCAGTTCCAGAAGGTTCGGGGTGGCCGTTGGGACCGGGGGCCCAGACCGCAGGGGCGAGCGGGAGCTGGGGGAGGTGCGACCGGGAGGGGCCGTGATCGGGTAATACCGTGGAGGCCGTAACCGCGATGCGGGGCTATGAGCGGGGGGGGCGGACCGTGACCGAGATGGGGATCTCTGAGCCGGGGGGGTCATGACTGGGATGGGGGTCTGTGAGCTTGGGGGATCGTGACCAGGGTGGGGAGCTGTAGCCGGGGCACTTGGAGCGGCGCGGGGCCTCGCACAGGGGGAGGCTGTGGCAGGAGGTGCCGGGGCGGGGGGGGCAGGCGGCGGTGTGACCGCAGAGCGACTTTGGGCGGGGGGAGGGTGCCCGGGGGAGCTGTGCCTTCGGGAGGACCGTGGCTGGCAGAGGCAGTTGTGGGGGCAGGCGGGAGGGTCCGCAGCGGGGTGCAGGCTATGCTGCGGGGTGTCCCCGCTCCTGCCTCCCAATCCCCCCGGCAGCTCAGGGAGGCTGCGCTGCCCCTGGTCTCGCCCACCAGGGCCACGTCCTCTGCGCTGTGACATGGGCAGGGACAATCTGTCCGCGGCTCTTCCCGCACGCTGGGGCCTCCTCCTCCTCCAACTCCTCCTCTTCTTCCTCCCGCAGGCATCAGSTCCGAGCCAGCTGGGACGTGGTGGGTTGTTGTCCCCCGGGACGGTCCGGGGCCGTGGGGCAGGGTCCCCCCGGGGGCGCAGGAAGCGCGGCTCGGGCGGCACCTGCCCCGAGGGTCCCTCCCAGGCCCCGGCGGGGGGCTGCGGGGTGGGCGCCGGGGCGGATGTGAACCCCGGCATCCGCCGCCCTCTGGTGACAGCCAGCCGCGGGCGGAAGGGCCCGTCGGGGACAGTCACCCACCCGAAATCAGCAGCTGCCGACCTAGCGAGGTTTTCAAGCGTTTTGCGGGTTTTACAGAGAAATCACGCAGGCGGCGTGCGCCCGGCAGCCCGGGTGTCGTGTTTGAAAAGGTGGCCTGTGTTGGGGAAGGCAGAGGGAACGGCTGYGTGGTGGATGCTGGGGAGGTGGGCTTGCTTGCAATCCACACGTGAACGTGATCCATAGTACGAGGGGCAGACACCTCCCGGGTTTCCGCACTCCTTTTAGTTTTTTCTTTTTTTCAAGGCAGGAGTGTGGAATTTGCAGATGCTGTGGAAAGTGTGTAGTAGAGGAATGTTGTGCTGCGTCTAAGGGTATTTTAAAAGTAATTTCCACTTCTTGCCTTTTTAAAAACATCAGACAAGCAGAGATCTGCTTACAGACCTGTCCCTCTCCCTCAATCGTGTCTGTTGGCATCAGCAAAGAGGGATAGTTGGGAAATTGAGGAGAGTGTAGCAGGCTTGAACCCTGACACAAAGCAGCATCTTGGCAAGCTTGGTAACACTTGAGGTGAACAAGGTCCGGCAGGTGACACAGGAGAAAACTCCCAGCATGATAGTGCTCGAGTTACTTTCAGCAGGGCTGGGCTTTAGGCTGAGGACTGGGAGAATGAAGTCATGCTGTAAAGCCTCGTCACCGCCTTGTTTCACAGCAGCAATTCCCATGGTTCGGGTCTCGGCCTGAGTGAGTGAGTGAGTGGCGGGGCCCTGATAGGGACTCTGCATGTCCCAGCATGCCGTCACTGTGCTGAGGGCAGGGCTCTGGTGGGAGCTGGCACGGCTGAGGGCTTTGGGCAGGCTTGGTTCCGAGGGACACTGCTGCCGCAGTGTTTGTTGCCAGGGAGTCAGCRCTTGCCCTCGCCTGACCTCCAGCTCCTGCTCCCATAACACTTAACCAGAACGCTGGATTCCTTCTGACGCTGGTGGGGCCTGGATATGTCCTTTCCCAGGGAGCCAGGGGTGGTCAGGATGTGTGGGGTAAGCAAAGCCCTGCTTCACCACTGGTCTAAAGCTGTGGCCTTTGGTGAGATGGRCTTGTGGACCAAAGTTCCGCTTTGGTTGGAGCAGTGCTGGTGCTGTTTCAACTCTGCCACTCACTCGCCTTGTTTCTGCTCCCCATGTGAGAAGTTTCTGATCCACTGAAAGAAGGAAAGGTGGTGGGGTCACTCTGCAGTCACTGTGGGAGCTTTGCTGTTCAAGGCTCAGCTTGCTGAGGAGCTCTYCTGCTTCCCTGCCTTGGCAGCTACTTGTGCATAGTAGCTCTCCATGCTCTATTTTTCATGTCTGTTCTCTCCAGAAGTGGCATTTGGGGAATTGCAGATAATTTAAAATTTACTGGTAGGKCTGCTATTTCACTCCTGATGCCTTACTCCAAATCTGATGAAGGCCCCAGCTAGTACACCCTCCCTCAGCTGGTGGTGCTGAGCTCTCTCAGCCTCTCCTCCCTTGGTTGTTTCAGGTCTTCTGAGCATGCAGAGCAGGAGGAGGAAGTTCCCTCCCTGAGTTCAAGGGGCCTCTCAGGGCAGAGAAATGCATCTTTGCCCTGGTCTTCCTCCTTGCTGTCTGCTACCAGCTGCTCGCCCTTGCACATTTCTGTAGCTCTGTGCTGAGTACCAGAGGCCAGAGATAGCCAGAGCTTGATCTCTGAGTCTGAGGGTAAATCAAAGGGATAGTTATTGATCTGACTCTTCAAAGTCAATGTTTCTTGGTTCTCCCCAAGTCCTTTACATGCTCTTACTGCCCTGGGCCTGCCAATRTTTGTCCTCTGCTAGATCTGGTTGGCACCATCGTGTGCTGTGTGGAAATGCACCATGCCTGGGGGCCAGGACACTTCCTGATGCAGAACACGAAAACCTGTTGTTGGTAGGTATTGACCACAGACATGAAAGGAGAAAGTGAAGCCATATGGTTAGAAAAGTTGTGTCCTCAGCACCCTGTCAATGGAGCTGTAATCAAATTATCAGAGGCTTTGGTAGCTGGAGGAATTAAGGAGTTGGGTTTGAAACAGGACAGGTGTGAAGGGCAGCATGGGAGGGATCCTCAAAGGAGACATTTGTATGTTGCCAGATGGTTTGTTGCAGGTTACTTAGTGAAATTTTTCCACATTACTTTGTGAGAGTGTTTTGCCTGCTCTGTGGGTCTCGGTGTCCTGGTAATACATGTTACCGTGTTCCTGATCCTTCCTTCTGTCTGCAGTGCCTAGGACATCTGCTCTCTGGATCCTGTTTTCTGACCAGATCAATTCCTTTGTTTTTTTGATTTTGGTTTTGCTCTTGGACAAGCGAGCCAGGTGAATACAACCTCCAGAGAACCTGGTCTCACAAAGTTTGAGGCCTGCTTTAAAAAATATTTTCTTTGATAGGGAAGTGTCTCTGTTCATCTCCCTTTGGCTTTGCCCCTTTCTTTCACAGTCTCCTTTGCCTGGCCTGTGAATGCCCAGCTGCCAATTCACATGTTTTTCCCCTGTTTCCATCTGCATCTTCAGCTGGCTGTGAATCCTGAATCAAGAGCAGCTGGGCTCACATACTCTGTGTTTCAGAGAGCTTTTTCAGGGCTGGTCAATGGTTTTGCAGTACTTGCCTGTGGCCTGGACAACCCCCCAGCTAAGCAGCATGATGGCAGAACAATGTGTGGATGGGAAACCTTCAAAGGAGTCCTGTGTGCTGCAAAATGGGAAGTTAGTGATTCAGCTGGAAATGCTTTTTAGTAACGAATCCCTGTCCTGGGCCAGGGCTGATGTCAGACGTGTGATTCTTCTTGTTGGAAGAGAACAAAGATGCAAAGCCCTTTATGCAAGAGCTGAGGTGGTAATCCAGGTCTCCTGGCCTCAGTCCATTTGGGGTAATTGCATTCTTCCTGGGGAGTGTTTTCCACCCATCCCTGTCAGATACATTGCCATCGCTTCCTGTGCTGCAGCAGTATGTGGGTGGCAGTACTTCAGCCATGTCCAAAGCAATTCTTGTCACTGCTCAGGCTTAGAGCCTTTTGAGCCTTGTCTGAAAGGCAGTGCACTAGAGAAGGGAATTGGTGGAGGGTTTTAAGTATATGTATATTTATATATACCCATGCTGCATTTAAGGGGGTTTGTTCTGCTTATAAGCTCTCCAAAAAGACAATGTTTGTGCCTAACTAGTACAGCTTCCAGGTGGGATTTCTGGGATGCCAGTGCAGGTGACATTAAGCACAAACTTTCTGGGTGCCCTCAGGACTGTTTTAAGGGCTGGTGTCCCAGTAGGGTCATGTGGTCGGTCATGGTGTGATGGCTGTGCTTCTGGGGGACTGGCAGCCTGTCTGCCTGCAGTGCTCTGCTTGCTGGCACAATGGCTCTGGTCACAGCTGGACTGTGCTCTGGTGGTGATGCAGGGTGGTTGCCTGTGTGAATGGGCAGCCTGGGGAGCAGGGACTGCCCCACGCTAGATTTTGCTCATGATGCGCGAGGCCAGGGAAAGGTCAGTCCTGATCTTGGGGAGATTGATGCCATCCTGATTTTCAAGACCTGCTAGGCATGAGGATCTAGCCCCCACTAAGTGTGATCTCCAGTGGTCTGTAATTAAAGCACTGGGAGCCTGGGGAGGAGACTTAAACAACATCTTTGTGATGGTATTGGCAGGCCTCTCTGAGCTTTCTATTAAGCAATTGTCATTTTCTCCCTTTCTGTAGCCTGGGAAACGCTGCAGCATTGGATTTGTCTTGGTGTGTTTGGGTTGTTGGGAGGGGTGTCTCTCCAGCAGTGGAGTTTGTCCCTCCCTGCCCTGGCTCTGTGTCTCCATGGGGTGGCTTAGCAGGTGGCCCGTGGGGACCACAGCCAGCGCCTGTTCTTGCAGATAAACCATATGCCAGCGCACCCACTCGAGTACCAGCAAAGCCTGTGTGTGGTGGAGAAACCAGCTGAGTGGGTGGACAAGAACAAAGCAAAAGGCACAGAAAGGCCTTTATTTCCCACTGAAATCAGGGAATGGAGGTTGTGACTGTGACCTTAGCAATCCCCACTGGGCAAATGTGTGCCCACCTGGAGTCATGCAGGGAGCTGGGGGGTACCTGGAATCCAGGAGGGAGACAGGGCTGCACTGGAGGGGCAGCCTCAGCACTGGTAAAAGATGTGGTGGGATCTTTGAGCTGGTGGGGTGCTTGGGGTCTCTCACTTCTGTGCATGGGCCACTAACTCACTTGGCTTGGAGAGCAGTTACTGCCCAGTTTCCAGCTGAACCTGTGCCTGTGGATCTTATCTTTTCAGGTGACCCAAGACAGCTGGAACAAGTCACCCCAAGGCCACACTGCGAGTGCTGACAACTGAGAGCTGCCTTCTCTGTCTTCTTCAGCCCCACACCCAGGTTAGCAACATTCAACCATCATCTTCACCCCTTGCTCACAGGGATGCCTCTGTAGAGCAGGTGTCACCCAGGTGAGGTTCTCCCAAAGCCTTTTGGGTGCTCCTGCTTCCCCACCTGTCTGTCAGTGTGGCAGAGGAAACTGGGTGTTTGCAACTTGTGCTGCTAAGACTGTTGAACCCTGTGCAGTCAGGAGCTCAAGGGTGGTGTGCTCTAAGCACTTGGGAGCTTGGAGTCTGCTGTTTGCCACACTCGTCCTTCTGCATGTCAGCAGGATTCAATGGGAGTGTTTCCAGCTGCGGGTCCCTGCTGTCCTTCACCTGAACCCAGCTGAGACTTTACCCAGAGCTTGTGGAAGACATAATCATGTTTTCTTTTAGAAGCATTTGGGTTTTCCCTGCATTTTCCCAGGATTTTGTGGCTTGGCCTTGTTGTATGAGGTTCAGAGTAACAATGAAGTATCTCAGGAGGGCTAGTAGTCTTTGTATTGACACTGTAAGAAATATTAACTTCAAGGTAACCAGCCTGGAGCAGCCTGAGATGGCTGTGGGCTTTCTGCCCTGTCTGTGGATGCTTGTGTGCCTGCCTAGAACCCAGCAGTGCTTGCCCCATGTGCACAGTGTGCTCTCACCTGGAGTGGAGCCTGCATCAGTGCTGTGCCTCTGGCAGGGCAGGCTGAGCCCTTCTCTCACCCCAGAGCTCAGGTGAGATTTTATGGGGAAGACAGTTTAGGATGCATGGCTGCCCAGGCTCTGCAGCTCTTCCTCTGAAGTGTCTGCCAGGGAAGTTGGGACCAGTCCAGAGGCAGCTGGAAACTGGGCCTCAGGCCATCTCATCCTTCATCCTGATGCTGAAGTGGTACCCACAGCAGGTGAGGCAGGGATAGATTTACCTGTGAAGGTGAAAGAAAGGAAGGAAGAAGCCCTTTGCTCATGTCAGTGCTCTCTGCTGCAGATTCCCAATCATAATGCAGTGACAGCAGAGCTGCCCCTTTATCCAGCTGGGTGGTSGTATTCACTGACACCTGTTCCATGATGAGATTTTATATCTCTTAGTGATGAGAGACATGACAAAGACCAGAGGAAAGGTTTGCCTTCAGTCCTGCTGGAGATGCTTGCAGATTCCAGTACACTGAGTCCTCAGTATCTTCTCAGGGCTCTTCTGCCTTTCAACATGGGGCATTTTAACGCAGGGCTCACCACAGAATCATAGATAGACTTGGGTTGGAAGGGACCATAAAGATCATATTCCAGTCCTTGGGCCATTGACAGGGGTGCCACACACTAGACAGGTTGCTCAGGGCCGCATCCAACCTGGCCTTGAAGACTGCCAGGGATCCACAGCTTCTCTGAGCAACCTGTGCCAGTGCCTCACCACCCTCTGGCAGAGTATTGGATCCACTTTTCTTCTACTCCTCCTTGCTAACAATTAGCTTAATATCTTCATGGACAGCAAATCTCCCATTTATATGTAAAGCAGGAGCTTCTCCTGTTGTTTAGCCACAGCATGAGCCCATGCTCTGGTTTGTGTATCACCTTACCCAGGTGATATCAGTGAGTTTATATTTGGGCTAAATTAACAATGCTAGTTCAGTTTAGTGCAGCTGATGCACTAAGTAGTCTGGAGGCTCATACAGCTTGCAGACCCATGGACAGACTTGCAGTGCCTCTCTTGCGAATGGGATAGAACCCTTTGCTGGGAAACTCAAAAATTGGGCAAAGTGGAGTTTATGTCTTCAACCTAAAGCAGTCACCCTAACATCCTTCAGCCTCCTCAGTGTGTGTAGGCTGCCTGTGCCCATGAGTCTGACCACCTATATAGCTCTAAGTCATCTTTGCACTGAAAACCACAAGAAAATGCTGCCTCCTCTTTCAGAGCCCGGGCTCTGGGTTCCTTGTGGACATTGACACTGAAGTTATGCAAGGAATCCCCTATTTGCCCTACCATCTCTGTTGTAAATAGGTTGGGCATTCAGAGATCCTGTTCATGGGTGTGCTGTGACAGCTGGATCCTTGTTCTGTTCTTGCTGCTCCCAAGAATGGAGCAGCAGATCATCTGCTGAGGCTATTTTAGGTTTCTGAACATTGCTGGTGTCCCTCTGAGCTCCTATTTGTGTGCAATCCTACAGCTTCCTGCTGAGATCTGTGTGAGAATCCTATATCCTCATGTGTGAAGGTTTGACTTGGACACAGTGTCCCAGGGATTAGGAAGAACTCTGAATTCCTCATTTACCTCCACATCTAAGCCATATCAACTGTATCTGTGACCCCTTTTTCTAGCTTTATCTCCAAACACCCCTTGGACCTTGCTTTGYGGATGCCCACGTGTTGCCTAGTGGGAAGCAGGCTGCAGCTTTCCAATCTTCTCCTGCCAAAAATGCAGCATCTTTCCTGGTTGCAGAAGTTGATTCCTGCTGTCTCAGATGGGAGCCTGCATTGCAGAAAACAGTCTTCCACAAAACCTCCAGGTGTGGAAATACTCCAAAGCACACAGCTGAGTGAGATGAGAGCCTGACTCTGTCCATCTCTGTGGCTGGAYGGCTACTTGCCATCTGCCACCACCATCCTCCAGCCCAGCGTGGCACTGGGTGAGGCCTCCTGGCCTATCCCTTCCTGGTACACCCAAGATTTTTGGCTTCTTTGCACTTTCTGGTTTCCACCTGCTCAGGTAATTTTTCAGCAGTGCTGAGCATTGCTGAGTTTCATGTTGAGGCAAGATGTGGCTCTGCAGTTTTGGCCCATCTTTATTTTTAGCTGTGTAAGGCATGGTTGATGGTATCAGAAGGAAGTTGCATGGCCTCCAGAGCTCCATGACTCATCCTGGATCAGGACCGAGGCTTTGACAGCCTCTGCTATAACCCTCAACTGATGTAACTGGTTGTGGGAAAGGGCAGAGTAAAGAGAGAAGCAGAGCTTTTAGAAGTTCTTTTCYTTTTCCTTGTCTATGAAGTTGTTAAATTCATATGTTGAAAGATATTGACAGGTGTCACTCCTCAGTGTGGTTCAACAGGGTCCTTTGTATGCTCTTTGCATCTTGTGCCTGTGTGAGAGAGGTGAAAAGGAGAGGAGCTCTGCTTACCACCCAGGCTAGTGGCATGTAGCAATGGTGGGGAAGAGTTTTTAGGGCAGGAAGTGAAGCAGGATCCTGTCTCCGATTCAAGCCACAGTGAGGTTTGGAGCAGCAGAACAAACCAGCCTGATGTGGAAACTCTGGAATTGGAGAGCTTRGGAGGTGCCTGCCAGGATGCAGCAAGAAGAGTCTGAGACCTTTATTTCCATCAGATCTGGTGCTGCTGCAATGTAGAAAGAGCTCCTGGAGCTTTCTGACCTGCAGCTGTGTGGGACCAAACTGGGCAGGRGTGCTTGTAAYCCCYGTGGAGCAGGCACTGTGGGACAGGYGAGGATGTTGAGGCATCCCTGTCTGCCACGGCATGAAGGAAGTGCAGTTGAAAAGGTCTCTACTCCCMAAGTCTGGCAGCGTGGCTCTCCTGTGCTTTGCCTTGAGAACAGGCAAGGTGGGGTGCAATGCACCTGTGTCCAGAGTAGGCTTCTTGCCCATGGGTGGGCAGGGATRATGGGTTGTGGGAGTGGCCTTCCACCTTCACCCCCTTTCCTTTCTTGGGCTGAGGAACAGCCTTTTAGGAGTGTATGGAGGCTTTTGGGTGTGTTATGTGTGGGGCAGCAGGGAGAGGACAGCAAGKGGGGAGCAGAGACAGGGGAGATGGAGGAGCATGCTGGAGGGTATTACTATGGCAACGTGCTACTGGCAGCATCAGTGRCAAGGCAGAAGAGCAGTCAGGCAGATGTGCAAGGTGTAGCAGCCCTCAATGTAGCCCAGGCCCAGCTGTGCTTGGCACCCCTGGACTCCTGCCTGACCATTCTGGCATCTGGAGCTGCTGTCCTCTGGCAGCAGCCTCAGGGCCAGTGGCCAGGGATRTTTTTTTTCCATTTTCTCCCCTCTTTTGCCCCTCGATGGGGCAAGGGCAGGCAGCTCCTGTTTAGAGACCTGTTTGGTTTGAAGTCCTGAGCTGCAGAGCAGGCCCAGCCAGGAACAAACGAGTCTCTTGATCCCTCTCATTGTACCATGGAAGAAAGGGAGTCATTCTGCTGCCCTTGCTTATCCTCAGTTAATCAACGTAAGTGGCTCCAGCCATGGCTGCACCGTCCCAGGCTGCCTGGTCCTGTGCTGTGCCCTGCACCTTGCACAGCCAGYTTGCAGTGCTCTGGGATGACTGTTCTCTGAGGGAGAGCAGACACTCTTGTGACCTCACTGACATGACGTGAGACCATCCCCTGGGGAAAAGTGAAACATTTTTGAAGCTGCCTTTGGGTAAACCCCTTACCAGATACTGGTAAGGGAGCTGTGTCCTGTTGTTGGAGGGAGCTTGGAATATCGTGCACTCACTGTGGGGATGGGTCAGGAAGCCATCTCCAGCCTGGCCATAATGTGAGTGTGACTGAGACCTGACCTGTCATCCATGATATGCCTAAAGGCCTGGATGTAAGCCAGGGAAAAGGACCTGTTGGCAGCAGGCACAGCTTGCCCGTGTCAACATGGACGGCTGTGTGAGCTGTAAACCTCTCTCATTACACCTCTCAAAGGTCACTGCTGGCAGTGAGCTACAGCGCCCTGCCCACAGCTCAGCGCCCAGCTCAGAGTGACAGGGGAACAATGCTCYTGGAGATGTGTGGAGGCTGAATGTGTGGGCTTGCCATGGGGTGACACACACTGCTCTAGTGCCTGTGGACAGAGTTTGTCTGGGAATAGGATCTTTAGTCAAAAATGACTGGCAAAGGATACTTCTCTGAGCTACCCAAATAGCACTTGCAAATGTCTTAATCCTTGCCTTGAGCTGTGACCTTCCTTTCCAGGGTACGARGCCTTATATCTTCCCCTGAAAACCATTTTACCCTTTCCAATATGCCACAGTGTCCTTCGGTGATGTAGGGTTACTGCAAGAGCTGTATATACTGCTCAATCCTGTCCAGTGTCACAGTTTCAGT